TATATATATAAAATTTATTGACTATATCGTTCACAAAACTAAACAGAAAGAAAACTTGACTTTTAAGTGTGAAACAGTGCTAAGATTTAAACTGTGATTAGCACAGCCTAATGACATTAAATCCACTGAATAGCAAGTGCTGGCACAGAGGCAGGGGGGATGCCCAAAAAAACCTCTCATCAAACTAATCTGCTGTTGTGTAACAGTCCCCCTCAAACCATACCACCCTGTTTCTAACCACTCTAACCACACAAACAAGAACTGCTGCAGAAAGAGCGGCAACAAAAGTATGTCAGTCAGTCAAGCCCACGCCTGCTGCTCATTGAAGCAATGGTGCATTGTGTGCATGTGTGTGTGCATCCATTAGGCGTGTGCATGGGCAGAGAAGGGGTCTGGCATCCCATCCTTAATCCTGTCTGATGAGACTCGGACGTAACCCGCTTTTATCCCCTGCTGAGAAGCCACGCTTCCCTAGACCCGCAATTTCTGTCGGTCTGCCTCTGCAATTCACCCACTGTATGGTGTTCGTGTAACTTTCCTTCGCATCATTCTTAACAATGTCTTTTTAACTGAATCTGTCTCCCTGTCTGCCGCTCCTGCACTGTCTCTCTGAGGACTTAAGGCTCTTGTTTCAATCAGAGCAGTTTACAACAATCAGACAGCTAACACAGCGTTGGAAGCGGTGTTGCCTGCAGGTCACAGAAGAGAAACCTGGATAATGTGATTGTGTTTACATGGCTGTTTAATTTCAGTAGTTATAGATGTAAAAAGCTAAAGCCCGACATGCACTGCAGCTCACACTCACACATACAAGCGTAACACTATGCCCATTAATCTCTAGGTGAATTCATCCTCGATACGTTTGACATTATTATTGCACATTTTTGTGCGTGTGTGTGTCTAGCACATACACACCTGTATGAATGCGTGTGCGTTTTAATATCAATCAGCTCCTTCCATCCCCCCAACCCTATCTTGCCCCCAGCAGGAGGCTACATCAAAAATAATAATGTAAATGACTTTGTTGCGCCGTATCTCCATTATCCAAGGCTTTGGTCACAATACCCACTGACACACTGCCGGGTGCTGTCCTACATTCAACCTGCACACAGTGTTTCCATGCCAAAGCCTTACCAGAGTTAAATCATTTTTACGTCACATGAGGTTTGAGGAGGTTTTGGCCTACAAAAAAAAACCTACAAACAAAAAAAAGCTAAATTTTTAAGAGATTTGAAAAATATTTGTGAATATAATATATTGGCCAGTTTCATTCAGATCCGTAGACTCACGCACTGTTGGTCAGGAGATAGAGTATGTTAATAATAATGTGTTTAACAGTCATCTGTAATGTTTTGGTCCTTTGTTACATGATTTACTATTGCTGCACACCGCTGAGAGAGAATTTCACTGACTCCACAGGAACACTGGGGTGTTTTGTAAATCATGAGGATTAGTTTGGTAATGCAATAATATGCATAGTCTGTTTTGTTTAGCGTGGGTGTATTGTTTAAACTATACTGAAAAAGAGCTTGTTTCGAAATGTGGTTCTAAAAAGAGTAATGAGGGCGCTTGGCCACCACGACATAAAACTCTGGCTCAGATATCAACATTCGGCCTTACCGAGCGTGCGCACGGGGTTGTTGATAGAACTGGGTGGGCTAACTCCGTGTTTGTTGACCGCCCTGACAACAAACTGGTACTCTGTTTCTGGAAGTAACCCTTTGAGAACCATGGAGTTAGTCTCAATGGGCTCACGAATATATGTCCACTCTGTGTCCATTTCTGGCCTGAGAAAAGAAAAGACAGGCATAAAGATACAAATATAAGAAGATTAATTTGACACTCATTTGATGTTTGATAGTTTCGAAGACATCAATTATCTTTTTTTTTTTACTCTTCAGTTATTTTGTCTTTTAGAAATCAATGAAAAAAAGGGTGATTACACTCAAAATCTCTCCAAAGTAATTGTTTTTAGAATGACGGTATGTTTTTGTGAGGGATCTGTGATGTAATCTTCCACTTGATTGCGTTGCCCCTACTGAAAAAAAAAAATCTATAAGCAGCGGCATGGAGTACAGTTTCCAAAGAATAAAAAAAGAGATTATTTAACTGATTATTTGTTTTATTTTTGTTTTTGTTCTTGTCATACTACCACTCTGGAGATCCTTAAAGGACATTTTTGATTATCGTAAAAGTCAAGAAAAAACTAAAACAATGAAGTCCTGAAATTTTCCTTAATCTCCAGCTTCCTTTCTTTGCCTGATTCAGGCAGCCTGGGGCCATAACTCTCTCTTGAACGGAGGCATCTTCAACAGCAGCTTCCACTCAGTGAGGCCTCGTTTGATGTAAGGGGGGAGAAAGATTTGCTTCTGAGATGATCCTTCTGTGTTGAAAATCTCCCCGCATGCAAACACAGACACTTATTCTTGTCTGCTCGCTCACAGTAAGTGTTTTTCAGCCCGCCCGTCTCTCCTCTCTTTGCTCATTCGCGGGGTGTTGATTCTGCACCCTGAAGGGCGACACTGCTGTGTTTTTTAAAGTTTGCTTCTTTTTATAGCTTTTAAACGCTTCTTTCTTTTGTGACTTGCTTTTAAACATGTCTTTGAAATACCATCTGATATTTCACAGAAAAAAAAATATCTGGCAAATCATCAGACAATTCGAGACAAATTATTTCTGACCTCAACTTTTTTGGAAGAACACTTGTCTAGACATGGGAGGTTCTTTATCTGAGTGCCTCTATGTGTGCGCGTGTGTGTGTGTGGCTGAACATTACTAAACAAAGAATGAAACTCATTCTTTCACATGTCACAACTGACCCTTATGTCAAAACACAAAAGCTTACACTGAACAGACAGGAAAAGCCTCATGAAAGTCACTGTGAAAGAGAGCTGTGTGTGCCCTGTTTAGTTATTTGAATCTGAGTAGGTGCAGATCTCTACATCCGTTAATGCAAACCAACTGAATTGTATTTGAAATATAGTTTCTTTTAAGATAGTTCATTATTAGCACTCTGCTAGCTTTCAAAACTGTTACTGATTAACAGTGTATATTATTGATCTATTTCTAGAAGTTAATAACTTCTAATAATGAAAACATAGTCCATTATTATCACTTTAGCAGTGAACAGGTACTGTTTTAAAAGTGTACAGATGTTGTCCTGTGTCCAGCGTCTGCTTGTTCCTTGTCGAGAGCCTCAAAAGACTGAGGGCTGAGGAGTTGAGCAACTTCAGGAAGCAAATCAAAAAAACTGAAAGCTGGGGAAACCACTGTCCTAAAAAACAAGTGCAAGCAACAAAATTTGATTATACTGAGAATCACTTCAGGTTGCTTTGCAGCACTGTAGTGGCAGACTCTTTCAAAATCAACTCAAGGTATCTGATTAATTAAATCTGCAATCATAAGTTGCTGTTTTTACATTTCAGCCCATAGAAGGATAAAACACACGGGGAAAGAATGAGAGGTTGTGGTAGCTTTGTTTTGAACCTTTTAAGCAGTGTTTTTTAACTTTAGGGTGGACACCCTGAGGTGTTGTAAGATAAGTTCATGTAGCTGGTGTGAAGTAAAAGCATACGGCTCGGTAGCAGGGAAAGCTCCTTGCTAAATGTTAGATATCAGCGCAACAGGGTTTGCCATTGCTGGTGTACCTGAAAATCAAATACACATTTCACATTTGGTTTATAGATTTGAAAGTCAAGTTGATCTTCTAACACTCCTAGCAAAATGGAAAATAAGAAGATTTTGCAGAACTGTCCTTTTAGGTCTGTTGTTTTCCTCCATGACGACAACACTCAGTCTTAACTTGTTAAGTGCATATGTGAGCTGATTTTTAAGTGTTTGCATAATTTTTTTTTTGCACCAATTCCACTCAAAAAAGACCTTCTAGTGCTGAAGTCGACAGCTGTACAGCACCGTAAAATTACTATTCCTAAAGTTGGAACTACCGATGTTATGGAAGATGCCGTTTGCACAGTCCGTTTGCCCCTATTTTTATTTTATGTAATGTTGCGCTCTCAAAACTGTCAGAAAAAATTGGCTGGTTTTCAAAAGCGAGCAAGCCAGAACTAGCTCCAAACCAGCACTGGCGTTGTGTTGATGTAAAAGAGGTGACTGGTGTTTGTGCTGTTGCGTGTGTCCTATGTATTAACATCAAGTCAGCAGTGATGAAACCGGTCAGTTCTGACTGACCTGATGTAAGCCACCAGGAAGTGAAGAACAGGTGCGCTTCCGTCACTCTCGCCTTGCTGCCACGATAGCGCCAGCTCTGTGTCGGATACGGCCATGACAGTGGGCTTGGAGGGGGGTGAAGGGGGCATGCACATTTCTAATGCCAGGGGGAAAAACTGTAGTCAGCGAATGGTGTAAACGAACTACTGTAAAGCTACTGGCATCGACTGTAAAATGATCTCCGTCTACTCACATATTCTTACCCTGTGAAGCAGTGCCGATGTCTCTGGGCATGCTGGGTCTTCCCTCCCCTGCCCAGCCATATGCTCCAACACTGACTCTGTAGTTAGTGTTCACCTTCAGGTTACTGATGTCAACATCCTAGAAGGTGAATGTAGGAAACCGATAAAGAAGCAGGGCAAGGATGATTAGAAAGAGAGAGGGATGAAGTAGAAGAAAAGAAAGCAGGGATGGCATTATTAATTAAGGATTTTCTCAGCATCAGAGCGGAAATAATATCAAGTTCACAAATAAATGTCAGTCGTGACAATAAAGCAGGAGAAGCGTATAATTTTATAGAGAAAGTGCATAATGTGGAAAGCAGTGGCTAGCACAGCACTTACAAAGCTTGCTTGTCCATCAAATTGTCCCTTTGAAAAAGAAAAAAACAGATGTTTGCATAAAATCACAGTGTTATGACTTTAATAACAAGTTCAAACTGCAACATCCATTCAGGTTTCCTCTAAGCAAATTCAACATTGTCTACAAGTGACTGCTAAAAATTCAACACCTATTACAGGTGAATGTATCTTTGGATACTAACAGTAGTCAGCATGTCCAAGCTGAGCGGCACCTCCATTATAGACGCGGTCCCTACTGTACGGCCATTCTTCATCTCTGTGTAGAAAACCTGGATGATACAAACATTCATAAAATGCAATGAGTTTTTGGTTTCTTTGGTTTTTGCCTTTCCGTTTTAAAGACATAGCGACAACAATGTCAAAAGAGGGCTCGCTAGAAAAAATTTATGAGGAAACTGAGAAGACTGTTTGTAAACTTAAAACAATTGGCCACCCCGCATGTTTATGGGGTAGCTCTGTAGTTGACTAATCCTCTTAGTGAAGACATATGGTCAAAAGCAGAGCACACGCAGTCATACTGATCCACAAATTGCTAATGGGCGACTCAAAACAAAAACAAGGGAAGAAGAAAGGAAGCAAGGGTTTGGGTTGTCTTAGAGTATACCACATTCAAAGAGAGGAAAAACTAAAATTATGACTCATGTTACAAAAGAATCTCTGCTTATTTGTTGATGACTTTCTATCAGGAGCTGAGCAACCAAAGAGCAACACGTACATGTCAGTCCCCTGAAGGTCTACATCAGATGTTACCATGTTATCATGTTGCCTAGAAACCATCTACTAATGGGCTAAAACGAAAGATTATATATATATATATATATACACCTTATAACAGCATTGTTTCATTGTAATTTTATGACATTTTACATACACAAAACGTAAAATATTACCTTTTTTTTTATCTAAATCAGATATTACAATGTCGTATTCCCCAACAAGCACAAACCAATGGGCTGAAAATGATCTACTCTTAGTATTGATGCACCTGCAGTGCCTTATAAAAGTAGTGTATTGTTTTAATTTCACAACCTTAAAATCTCATTTAAATCAACACAAACTGGATATTGTGATATATAATAATGTCGCTTCCTTCCTAAAATTACTTAACAATGATATAAAACAACATGTATATAATATGTATATATAATATAACAGGACATGGATACAGGCATGTATTGGTCGCTCAATAATAAATAAAATTTGCAGTCAGTCGATTTTATGTTAAAACTTCCCTGCAACTTTTTTTTGTTCATTACTGAACGGAAACTGAAAGAAGCCAGGCCGACTTTAGTGTTTAAAGTGCAGCTTGTATAGAGTGGAGCAGACAATAAATAAAGATTTGTGACCACATCTTCCACAGCTACACTGTCCCTGTAAAAAGTCATATTGTGGAAAGGGTTCCACCCCAAAACCAGAACTTTCAAATATCAATCTAGTGCTCAAGGCCCTCTTAGTGGGCAGTGAGATGACAGCACTTTAGAAGCAAAAAAAAGAAAGTGGGGGACACTCATGCCAGTGGTGTGCAGAAGGAAATGGAAATTTTTTTCAAAGGAAAAAGAGAGAAAATTTGATTTGTGACATATCAGAGAATTTGTTCTTTATGTTTGCCAGCTTGAAAAACCTTTCTATGCATTTTGAAAGAGCTCTTGAAAGAATTATGTAAGTCCACTTCTGAGAAAACCAAATACTTTTTTTTCTCTTGGTTTTAAACAATTTTTTTTCTGGGACTCAAAAAATAAAAATGGTTCAAACTAGAAAGAAGTCCTCCACAATGGAACATCCATATTCCAACCAAACATAACAGGATTTCAATTTTTATAAATAAGGTAGCTAACATCTGGCTTAAGACTTTGCTATGAAAGATATGTAAAATGTTTCATTTCACCAACATTAAATACCTAGCTACTCTAAACTTGTGATGCAATTTTGTTGTATGACTCATGTTAAAAACTCAAAGTTCAGCAGAACATGGGAATCATTTGCTATTGGATGCTAATGGAGCAGAGCAAACAGAGCAAAATAGAAAAGTTTCTATGATCGCCTATATCAGGGGTTAAAGATGTGGAATGGAGCTGGATATTTTTCAGATAAATGTAGACATAAATCAGCTGAGAGTTTAATAAAATACTAAGACTATGCTGAAAGATAAAATGTGCAAATGTAGTCTATCTGATTAAAAAAGTAACAAAGTCTTTCAGCTGCTTCTCCTGCCCCATTCAGACATGTACGCCTTTCCTTTAATCTGACAACTTCCCCCTTTATGTATGAACTTTTCCATATGTATGTCTTTTTTCCAATAAAATTGTGACTCCTATCTAACACGGTTGAACCTAGTGACATTAACGGACAGGAACGCACGAGATTGCATTTGAGTTGTTGTTATTTGGCCCAATTTATAAATAATAAAGTTTACAAATAACATGTATGTCCTAGGAATAAGACAATTTCATGTTGATTAGCTACTGATTGGATGTGATGTTAGAAAACAACGAAGTGATACAAGGGTGTGAAAGCTCCATTCACATGGTCTATAGGCTGGCTGGTGACCATCTAGATACCACTGGTAGCAAGGGAAAAGTTAGTATTCCCCAATGGTTGTGAGTGACTGTTGAAGGGTGATGACAGTCGCTATCTACGTGATGTCTAAAGCTGCAGCCATGCAAGCCAGGAGAATCACTTGTTTCTACAGTGCTAAATGTGTATTCTGCAGCTGATTGGCAAGTAGTTGCTGCAGGTTGTTGTCAGTTGTTAGTGTGAAATCAGTTGCAAAGAAGTGTGTGGTGCTGCACCAAAACTTCCATGCTATTGCTTTACAAACACTTGCAAACTACTCTATAAGTTGTAGTTAAACTGTGAAAAGTGCAGCGCAAACCAGAAATGCTCTTCTTCTACACTCCCTATTTTTTATTTGTTGTTGTTTTATTTAACCTTTAATTAAACAGGAAAAATAAACTTTTGAGATTAATAGCATGTCCTGGCCAAGAAGGACAGTAGTCAAACATAAGCTGCATAAATTAATAGCACATATCCATATATATACATCCAAATCTACACACTGGTTAAGCACAGGCAAAAAATAGAAATAAAATACAGAAACAACCAAATTTTATAAACTTCAGATTCAATAAAAAAAATGTATAACTTAGAAAAAGTAATTTTCTAATGCCAGAAATAACGGTAATAATATTAAAGCAAAAGATTTATAGCCTGAAATAACTGCCACCAAGTCATTTGAAATTGTTTTAAATTCTTAATGTGAGACCAGTTTCTTAAGTTTTATTTGATTCTCATTTCTCATTTCTGGAGGAAAGAACTTGAATACAATCTGAATGTTTTTTGCTGTTGTTTTTTTTTTAATTCAGTGTGGCTCTATGGGAAAGACAAGGAGAATCTTTCCTATTTCCTATTTGCATTGCATTTTCTTCAAGTTTTCCTGCATCTCTAAAAATAAAGGGCAAATCGCCATCATCTATGCAAACTACTGGCAACTGCAGCAGCAATCCGTTAGGGAGCAAACTAGTCACAAGGAGGTTCTTTACAACTGATTTCAACCAGTGACACCTCCACGTCTCAGCTGCTCAGAGAACACACATCTTTTGCCTGGGATCTCTGGCGTCGTTGTGGAAGTAAGCCATGTGACTCAGGCCTTGGTTTGTCAGTAGTTTGCCATCTTTTGGTGTAAGAATTACTAACTCTTTGCAATAATATATGTTAGTATATCAATTCAGGTAAACTTCCATATTAGTACTTCAGGTTGATAACTGGTTCCAAATCTGTCCTCTCTATTGGTTTGGCACTACCACCAGTTCCTTTCATCATTGCTGATATTTTTCTGGCAGTTGTGCATTACAAAACAATTATGTATAACCGGTGGAAGTTTAAGTTTTGCCCCCTCTCCCTGTAGAGTAAAAGTACAATGCAAATGCTAAAATTGCGTAAACTGTATATTTGTAATGTGGGACTTGATAGAAGAATCCGACCTATAAGCAGGAAGAATGCTGATACAAATATTTAAAAAAAAAAAAAAAACCCTTACCAACATATCTAGTGACATAATGTAATATAACAACTGAAATATTGCTTCAGCTGTTAAATTACATTATGTGTCTCTAATTACCTTATATCCAGTGATGGTGCTAACATGTCTCCGGGGCATCTTCCATCGTACACTGAAGGCAGTGCAGTTGATTGTCTCCAGCTGGATGTCTAATGGAGGACTCAGGCGATCTGGTTAAACAGAGACGACACACTTAGTGACAGATATAATCAGTAAGGGAAAGAGGAGATATACAAGGGAGGAAAGTAGTGGTTTGGTTGTATTAGAAAGCTGTGACCACCTGGTTTTGGACTTAAATAATGTTATGCCAGATACATTATGGAATTAGTTTGGATTTTATTACAAAGAATCTTGATGTCCTGCTATCAGCACGGTTCAATAAGTGATGAAATAAAATTTACAACATAAACCTAAAGCTGCTGAAATGTTCATATTCATAAAATGTTCATATTAAGCATAATTCCAAAATTCACTTTTCTGTTAAATGTATAAACAAACAAACCGATGAAGAAATGTCATCATCAGTGCGTTATTGTACAGTACCTTCCCTGTAGGTGTGATTTGATGGGCTTAGCAGCCAATCAGGCAGATATTTTCATCAGGAATTGTTATAGACCAAAATTCAATAAACTTGAATGTAACTATTTCAGTTACAGTTACACTGTGGCCAGAAGCAACACTTCAGATGAACATGAATGCTGCTTCGTGTCTGCTAAATCATTAGCTGTTTAGCTAACATGCTCACCACAAAATATCAGTGTTGTGTTCTGAGGCTGTTTCCCAGTCTTCAAGTCTACAAAAATGTTGTAATGCAGATTTCAAATGTGATATTTTAAATCTTTACTTAGTACTTTCTACATGTTGACAATGCACACCATATTTTTAAGAATCATGATTACAATGCTTGTTATAATTTTTGATCAATAAATCATTAAGGTAAGCTTGAAGACCTTGGTAAAAAGCCAGGATTTCATGGATTGTTATAATAAAATAATAACAATAAAGTGGTACAGAAATGTTTTTTCTGTGTTACTATTCAAGCACTTGTTTGTTGTTTTTGTTTTTTGAAAAAAAAATACAGAGGATTTCTTGCAAAGTGAGCACCATTGCCTAACCTCTGGATTGGTGCTTTGCTGCCAGTTTTGAACAAAATAAAGTCTCTTGCAACATATTTCCCAACAGTTAGTAGCAGTCTGGAAAGAAATTACACTCTTTTCCACTTGAGTGCATTTGAGTGGTGAAAAAATGGACCACTTCTAGCTTATAATATCAACTGACTCTGACTTCAGATGTCATTTTTTCATGGTTCTAGATACTACAAATGTATGTAATTGCCTTCCCAGTGTTCAGCTATGGCCTTAAAACACAGTACTTAGAAAAGTTCTTAAAAGAGCAAGAAAGAGCAGCTACGCAGCTGTCAATCATTAGGACTTCTACTGGCTTCTAATGTCCTGTGACGTGACGTGGAGAAGCATGAGCAGACAGCGATGTTTACAGATTCCTATTTGGACACTTTTTTGTCAAAATATTTGTATATAGTGAATATTTGCCATAAAAATGCTAAATATTGCTGTACAGCACCTCAATATGATGTATTTTAGTGTGCTTGCAGATAGATTTACCTCATTAAAAAATATGAAATGAAAGCGTTTGGTTCAAAATCTCAAAAATTAAAAATATTAGCCACAATTTTTCTGTCTGACTGACAGTTTGTGCTAGCTTTTACAGCTATAAACTGGTACTGAAATCAAAGAAACATAAATATAGCAAAGCAGAGTGCTGTAAATTGAAATCCCATGTAGAAACTGTTTACCAGTGTTCCTGTATTTTCTTTCCCGTGACTACCCTTTTCTCCCTCTCAGGATGACCTTACTCCTACCCACTTTGACCATCTTCTTCCGTCATCTCTTTTCCTTTCTCGCACCCCCTTGTCTCTGCTCTTTCACCTGAGTGGATAATGAAACATGTCAGGTGAATTCCCTGATCATTTATCTCTCCCCAGGGGTGTGTTCCAAGCAAACACATGGGTGCGCTGAACTCACAGATTTCAGATAGAGATAGAGAGAGGGGTCTCTAACTGTATGTCTGAAAACTTACAACAAACTACATGATGGATCGATGTGACTTTTAATACCTTTGAATGAACTGCTGTGAAACTGTTATTGCACTTAATTGTGTGTCGAGAAAAGCTTGATATAGCCACCTGACACTCATGGTGTTTATAGCAGTTACTATTTGTCTTCCATGCAACACTAGCCTGATTTTTTTTCCTTTTAAACACCTAGAGGTTTGGACTTTTTAAAAAAAAAAATGAAACACTATTACGGTTCATATTTAAAACCTTGCTGTGAAACAACCTGCAGAACCTTTCTGTAAGATGCCATTCAGAAGTGCTCTGCAGCATGTGTAAGTCTTCATCTCTGGGCACATTCACGGCTACTCAAGGTACCTGATTCAGCGCAGAGAAGCTGTGTTAAAAACACTCAGCACCGACTCACACAAACCTTGACAGTTGATTTAGCCAAAATAACCACTCTGAGGTTCAAGTGGCCGAATCATTACTGTGCCACTTGTGAAAGAGGATTTATGGGTGTCTGGCGTGTGGTCCTCTCTGAAACTAATGTTAACAAAACAAATATTGATCAATCATATCTATATCGGATCACATTCGAGTATGGCTAAACATTAAAGACCTCAATGTCTACAAACTGCACACTCTCACTGTCTCTTGATAAAGTAACAGACTTGCTTCTTATTAACATATTTTTAATGAATATGCATAATAGTAAAATTTCCATTTGAAAAGCCAAACTGTTGCTTTCACCATGAAGACATAGTGAAGCTCAAAATGAGCATCAGAATGGGGAAGAAATGTGTTTTAAGTAATTTTCTGCTAAACTGTTGATATACGGGGATTCTTTCCTGCAGAACTGTCTTTAGTGTTTACAGAAAATGATACAAAAAAAGAGAAAACATTATGTGTGCAGCAGTTTCCTGGGTAGAAATCCTTTGTTGATACCAGAAGTCAAAGAAGAATGGCCTGACTGCTTTGAGCTAATAGGAAGGCAACACTAACTTAAATAACCACTCGATTCAATCAAGACATGCAGAAGAGCATTTCTGAATGGACAACATGAACAATGGACAAGCCTGAAGTAGATGGTCTACAGAAGCAGAAGACCACACCAGGTCCCACTCGGCTTTGATTCTCACGACCTTACCAAAATGGGTCAATATAAGATTTGGAAAACTGGTTGCTTGGTGTTATAAGTTTCAATTTCTGTTTTTACATTTGGATGGCAGGGCCAGAATTTGGTGTAAACCAGGGGTAGGCAACTCCAGGCCTCAAGTGTCGGTGTCCAGCAGGTTTTAGATGTTACCCTGGGTCTACACACCTGAATCAAATGACTAGTTCATTACCGTCCTCTGGAGAACTTCAAGATATGTTGAGGAGGTAATTTAGCCATTTAAATCAGCTGTGTTGGATCAAGGACACATCTAAAACCTGCAGGACACTGGCACTTGAGGCCTGGAGTTGCCTACCCCTGGTGTAAACAACATGGAAACATGGATACAGCCTGCCTGGTTGGCTGGTAACAGTGGTGAACTAGCCATCTGGTGGCAGCATCCCTTCATGACCACAGACATAATGGGATGTATTTTCTTATGGCTGTTTCCAGTGGGTTAGCACGCCAAGTCACAAAGCTCAGATCATCTCAAACTTCACTGTGCTCAAATTGCCTCCGCAGTCACCAGACCTCAGCCCAGTAGAGAACCTTTGGGATGTGGTGGATCAGGGGATTTGCATCATGGATGCAGTCGACAAATCTGCAGTAACTGCTATAACATGCCAATATGGACCAAAATCTCTGAGGAATGATGCATCTATCTAGTGAAGAATTAAACCAATTCTGAAGGCAATAAGCTCCAATCAGGTACTAGCAAAGTGTAAATTGGCTGGTAAGTGTATGATATCAAAATTTCCATCTGTCGCATACAGTTAAACCAGCATATCCAGCATAAGTTAACACTGTTTATTTTAAGTCCAAACCGTACCATGCATCACAGCAACACATGACTTTCCTCAGTTTCAAATGTGTGAATATAAAGTCTTTTTTTCATGTGCTACTAGATCTAGGGCACTTTCAAAAAGCTGCTTTCATAATATTTGCTCTCACTCAGTCAGCAATTATCAAATCTTATATTCAGATATTTTCTTTCTGAATAAGCCACCTATTCCCTCTGATTATCATCCAATTATGAAGAAATGCAGCTCTTTTCAGGTACGAGCCATTCAGAGATCATTTTTAGTAAGACACATGCTTTTATGGTTCTCTTCAACAAATCTAAGGGATAATTACACAAATCTTTTTCCAATTACTAAAAAAATAAAATAAAATCTAATGCACTAAATTTAAGGCGATGGAAGATGTTTGAAAAAACATTTTCACTTGTTCTGTTACTAATGTGTATTTTAAGAAACTAAAACTGTCAAAATCCTGAAAAAGAAAGACCACCTGGATGTCATTCATTGTGGACCCTTGATTAATTTTTAAGCTTGAATTTAAGTTTTTTCATTAAAGACAGATGTGACTCATGTGGACACCGAGTCCTGTTGACATTCCCCCCTCCCTGAGAATGAGGTCTGAAAGACCTCAGAACAAAAACAAGTACAATTGTCACTAGCAGTCATGAAGACAGAAGTAAAACCATTCTGTTTTTGGCAGTCTAAACTGTGGTGAGTTTATTGTGCTGACAGACAGATGTGAAAGTCAGCCTGCAGTGGCCTGTGGGCCCGTAAGAGTGAGGGCGGGAGAAATACAAGAGTCAGACAGAGTGACAGTGAGAGAAAAAGGAAGTGACGGAAAGAGAAAGAAAAGGAAAGAAAGAGGACCAAAGCGAGGAAAGGAAAAAGAAGGACAAAGAGTGAGGGAGTGGAGGCTGTGCGCATATCATGAAATCAACATCCAGGGATTTCTGTCCAAAGGACACATTGGCAAGTTTAATGATGGCTGCCCCAGTAAAGCTGAAGATTTCATTTTCTTTCATTCTATCCAGCTGACATATTCTGTAAAACTTGTAGCCAGCTTTTATCATCATAAAGTATGCCTTGAGAGGAGAAATTTCCATTTTATCTGGTTTTACAGTCCACACCATAAATATTTACTTATTTCTTGCTCTTCAGGCATTGTTCTTAAGCATGTGTAATTTGAAATTAAATAGCAGATAATAAATTCAAGTAATATTTATCTTTTGTAATGAAACTAGGTTTTTTATGAATATGGAAAAATATGAAAGGGATAGGTCTCTTAGGGACATTAAAGTAATACTAAGATATTATGTGTGATAGAAAAAACTTTGCATAAAATTGTGTAAGGTTAAAGCAGACTTAACGGTACTGGTGTAGTGCAGGACACATGAAGAGCACATACAAATACTGTGATTACATGCACAAGGCTTCACTATAAAGACCAACTTAAAAAAAAATCAGTAATGATTAGGCTATTGTTATAACCGTAACACCTTGTCGGAGCTGGTTTTAGCTGCAGAACTTACCAGACCTTCGAGCATTTGATCTTCTTGCACAAAAGCAAACGTTGGCTGTGCAAATTGCAAAGAAAAGTAGATACAAAAGACTTCTTTCTTTGCACTTAGATTCCATGTCTTGTTTTGGTCGAGATTTTCAAAACCAGTGACCAATGTTCATTTTACCACACATTCAAACGCGCATGTAATGCAGCTAATCCGGTCGCTGATAAAAGTTTTCTTAAAAACAAACGTTTTTCATCCAAATTCTGGGGACGAACGCCATCCAAAGACGTGCAGGGTATGTCCGAGAGGAGAGGGCATCTACGGTTTGACACTGATAAGATTACAATCTGCAAAAGATCAGTGGGAGGGACACATTAACGGACGGACAGGCAGCCACGGTGCTCTGACAGGCGCTCTGACAGACGATGGAGAGGGCTGTTCCGACAATTCACGCGTAATGCGCACAACTGAACGGTGGCCACGGTGATTCTTTTTTACTCGTGGAGATCCATTTCCTTTCGCTCCAGTCCAAGTATTAGACAACAAATAAGATGGACAGCGAAGTGCAAGAACGTAGGGCCATTTAGAGCTAAGAGGATAATAAGCGTCTAATCCGCACACTGGACACAGATGGAGAGCGTGTCTTTACGCAAAAGCAGGGGAGCCGCTCAAGCAACAGACACTCAATATGAATACCGTGTGTGTGCGTTTGTAATTGAGTGGCTGTGTGTACAACAAAATCCAAAGAGAATAAATTAACCGATTAATAATGTTAGCGAGAGAGACGGTTAGTTATCCATTAATGTGTGACTAAATTACCGAGAGAATACGTAACCATTCATTATGTTCTTCATAGGAGTCTCAGCCCGAAAGAAGTAAAATCTAATCAAGAGGAAGGGTCTCTGTATGATTTAAAGAGAGAGAGCGGTAAAGAGAGGTAGAGTGAGAGTGAGAGAGAATGACTTAAACCCTCGTGGTGGAGGCAGGAAAGAAGGGCTAAAAAAGAAATAAGTATAACACACATAATCCAAGGCACTTTTTGGTGCTGATAAAGGGCATTACCTACAGACTTGGTGAAAATGTAGTTTCATCCATTACATGTCCTACACATATTAGTGTCAGCGCAGCACCAGTGGGCCTATTAACCCGAACTATCCACCTGGAGGAACACATTTTGTAACTTGATTCCATTTTGGTGTCCATTTTTGTTATATTAGTTAGCCTAGATAAAAATCTAACCCACAGCTAGGAACCACTCTGATTTGTTAGGCTATTTTCATTTTCACTGCTGCTCATCTACTTCAGCTTAATTTTCTGTGCCAGCCATATTCCACCTCCAGAAAAGGTATGAAAAATTCAATGATCCCTCAAGCCATGCGAGGTAATTTGAAAATTATTTTGTCTCATTTTGATCTAGTATTTTATTCCTGACACACACACATCCTGTGGGAAATAGAAAATGTATATTTGGGGCATAAAATAAATTCCTACAGAGACATAGTTTTACCTGTAAACTACACTTAGTTGTGGTCAGAAGTATACATACAATCATCATAGGTATGATTGTCATGGTAATTTATTTTATTTTATTTTTTTTGCTCTTAATGATTTCTTTAAACAGTTCTTCTACCAAGCAGGAATAACTGCACAACAAACATCTTTAATGACTTTAGAAAAACAAGACCTGATGTGCAAGTTTGAATTTATTTGGGATTTTCTCTGATCCGCACAGGGTCAAAGCATAATGTCAGGTTAAAATATACAAGTGTTGCTGAAGGTTCTACAATGCCTTTTAACTAGACAAGGCCAAGACCTGTTAACTTCCCATCATGAGTGACCACAACTGGTAGTTTATCCTTGCCAGCATAAAAATGGTTTGTTTTACTGGATTCATCAATACTCAAAATAATAGTAAAGTCCAACGAATGGAGCCTCCTGGAGCCATTTCTAAACAACTGCAAATTCCAAGATCATCAGTTCAAAGAATTAAGTACAAATTATTTGGGATATGTCACCATGTTGGCAAGGTCTGGAAGAAGCCCAAACTGTCACCCTCAAATAAGAGGAAATTAGTTAGGCTCAAGCCTCCCATGAACTGGAAACTGCTGACACACTAGCATCACCGTCTACAGTGAAGTCCGTTTTACGTCACCATGAACCGAAAGCGTGTTGACCAAGAAAGAAGCCCCTGAGCCAAATGACACCTTCAAGGTTTAATGAAATTTGCAGTTGTCCACATGGAAAAGCTAGGTGCCTTCTGGAGAAAGGTTATATGTTCAGACAAGACAAAGACTGAGTTGTTTGGCCTCAGTGACAAACGGGATGTTTGGAGTATTGAAGGAGAGGCTTTCAAACCTCAGAACATTGCACCAGCTGTCAAGCACGTCGGTGGTAGCATCGTGATGTTTGGCTGTTTTGCTGCCATTGGTACAACGCTCCCAACACACATCAAAACTGGCTTTGGAAAGGATAAATCAGGCGAACACTAAGCTTCATCCCAAAGCTCCAACCGCAACCCTGTTGAAAATTTGTGGACTATGCTTAAAAACTGGGTCCATGTCAAGAAAGCCATCAATTTACATAAACTCTACTAATTCTGCCAAGAAGTGCCATCAAATGCCAGAATTATGTTACAAAGGTATTTGGCCAAGATGCAACTTAACGTATATTTAACCAAATATTAGTGGGGGCGTATGCATATATTTGAGCTTGCAGGTATACCGTATGTCAATTAGAGAAAATCCAACATAAATTCAAAGTTGTGTGCACCTAGTTCCAGTTTTTTAAAGTTATTAAAGATGTATGCTGTACAATTATTCCACCCTGGAGAAACAACAGTTCAAAGAAATCATTAAAAGCCCCAAATTACCCTGACATACCATGATGAGCATATGTACATTTCTGACCTGATATAATTCCACACACAGTTCATCCTTTTAAAAGGAGTCCCAGACACCTGGAATTGTAGAAGCAATATTACAGTAATAGCCAAGACTCATTAAGGGTTAGTAACCTGCAGACACAGGATTTTTTCATCTACGTTGGTTGGCTGCTGACTGACTGTTGGGAGCAATCTGGGGTTTGGTGTATTGCCCAAGGGCAATTTAACATGAAAAGAAACCAAAACAAAAAATCTGAGAATATCAAGCCACAGCTGCCCACAGTTGTTTTAGTAGAAGTTCAAAAAGAGCAAGCAGACCTTACAACAAATCAGCAGTTCTTATTCACTCAGTCAGTATGGGAATATTGATTGTATGCTCTCAGCAACAAGGTAGAGTTCAGTTCAGACTTTGGTAGATGGAATTTTAACTGGTTGTCATCAAAAATGAAAATTACTGCACTGCACCCAAGTGTTAACTTTCTGACCGGTTTTATAACACAATGTACAACAGAAGTGAGGTCCCTGTGTATTAAATGTCATATAATTAAAAACTATAACACCTTGTAGTAATTTTGTTACTTCTAGGTTTATTTTTGTGCTATTGCAACAATAGAAATGCACCTTTATATCTTTAGTTTTTATCTAATACTTCATATAACTATGTTTATTTGTCATGAAGGTTCAGTCTTCTTTGGGAAGGAGGATACCAGCCTTGCGCAGGTTTTAGCACAGATGCTTTCCAAATATTTTCAGCTGCCCCTTTCTGTGGGGGATATGCCACTCTACATTTATCTTCAAAATGCCAGAAATATGTTCCATTAGATTCAAGTCAGGTAGTATACTTGCTCAGCTTACAGTTTTGGGTGAAATCTGGGTTTCAGTGTATTGCCAAAGGGCCTTTTTTTCAGTTTTTAGATTTTTCCCCTTTTAAAATGCTCATATATATTTGGCAAAGTGCTTTGGGTCATTATCATGCTGTAATCCTCCTCTTCTGGTGAGCTTCTGGAGACTAATCTGGACAGCTGGTATTTTGGTAAGGTCACAGGCACTCATGGTGCAATCTATAAATGGCATCTATTCAACACCACTACCACCTCTATACTATGACTACATTTGTTATGGCTGTATAGATTTGTGGCACACACACTGGAACCCATTTGAGATGAATAAATGCTCTTATTTTCCCAAAATATATCTTTTTATATTTGTGTGTTCTTGCTCTTGCAAGCAAGTGTATCTGTAACTTGGATAATCTTCAGAAGTTGTCCAAAATCTCACATAAACTCTTGTGCAAAGTGTGAATCACTTGCCCGTCTGTGTTTTTACAGCTGTCAGCGGTGTCATTTTGTGGCTATGGCTTTGATGGCTTGTTCTACACCTCCTGATTACCGCTGAGACAGTCTTTCTAATGACTTTCAGCTGGTCACCAATCTTCACTCAGCTTTTTCCATTTTTGTGAGGTCTCACGATCAGATTTAACAGTTGCCCTGAAAATGGTTCTGTGTGGAGCCGTGATGTAAACGTGCAGGCAGACACAGCCTGTAGGTCTAGAACTGAGAAATTTTATAACCGTGTTCATGCAAAAGGGGACCTGTAAATGATAAATGGACTGTGACTTATATGAGACATATGCTTTTCTGCTCAAAGTGCTTTTAGACTAACAGCCACCCTCTCCCATTTATGCACATTCATACAGTTCTTTATTGCCTTAAATCCTTTCTACCTATCATGCATCAACTCACACGGTATCTTTCCCACAGACACTTCAACATGCGGACAAAACAACAAGTTGACAACCTACTCTACTGCTCAGTTTTAATTCAGTGATTGAATTTTTAATTAATTTGTTTGTGTTTTGATTGTGCATAAGAGAAAATACACCACTCTGCCAACTTAGAAATAATGCAGTTATGGAGAGGTGACACAGTTTTAAATTATTTGACATTTACGTCATATGTTACTTACTTCCAGCCCACACTTTATGTAACAAAGAGGGCTGTCAAAGATGGAAGAAATGACCTTTTTACATTTTACATTTATGACAACGTCAAAGCGAGCTCACGCTGGACCAGGTATGCATGCCGACAAAAAGAAATGATGACAAAGAGGCAAATTTTGCACCGATATACCACTGCAAAGCCAATGCCTCTCTGATATCTCACTCAAAGAGGACAGCTGACTAAGTCTTGACTGCAGTTAGAAATGGCAGTCCTTTTAAAGGAATGTCTTTGTAGGGTCTCAGTCATCCAGGTGATGGTAATCTAAGGAGCTCGGAGAGAAAAGCAACTGGATTTCCTCTCATCTCAGAAGCTTCTTCAGTTCTAATGAGCGAAGTTGTGGCACAATCAGAACAACATATACACTCTGACGAGTTAACAGGTCTTTATTCTGTGCATATTTCCCTTCATAATATGTAGTTTATCACTGATTATGCTTCGAGTC